TCATAAAGGAGAATATTTTGAAAAACAATAAAGTCATTTTCAATGACAAATTACTGTTTTTTTATTATTAGGCTCAAAATATAAATAGTGCCCCTCGTAGACGCGCAATGACATTGTCGAATAAGGAGCCTTTTGGATTTAATATTTTATATTAATATTACCTATACGATACGCGCAATGACATTGTCCAAAAAGAAGCCTTTTAATATCAACGTAATAAATGCAGGATACGATCAAGCTACCAATTTTTACGTTTATTAGAAAACTGTATTCTTTTCTTCTTATTAGTTTTAATATTAAGATCTCTGTCAAGCTAGCAGGACCAAATGAGCAGAATCGAAGAAGGCCTTTTGAATTATTTAGTATTCATTTTGTGTTAATTTGTGCTACAAAAAACAATTTTGTACCATATGCCATTTAAAAGAAACGTGTGGCGCTGCTAGCTTAACATCAAGCTAGCAGGACCACAAGGAAAAAAAAGAAAAAAAGAAAAATAAAATCAGATTTCAATAGTACTGATTTTGTGCTAACTTGTGCTATCAGAAAAAAGTTAATGTATTGATCCACCCCTCAAAAACTAACTTCTAACAGAATTAGGCTCAAGAGTAAAGTACTCTTCGCGACGAGCAGAATCAATCGCCACTTTCACAATAGAAGCGTTATAATTTGTGCTGCCAAAATATGAAGTTTCAGATTTGGTGTCCTGAAGCGTGGGATTCGAATGGTGATGATGCTCGAAATACCGAATATCTATGTGTGACTTCCATCTAATTGGATGGAAAAATCTGAAACTTCATATTTTGGCAGCACAAATTATAACGCTTCTATTGTGGAAGTAGCGATTGATTCTGTTTGTCGCGAAAGGTACTTTACTCTTGAGTCTAATAGGGGTCGGCGGTAATTTCCGAAAGAACGGAGGAGCACAAAATCTGAAACTTCATATTTTGGCAGCACAAATTATAACGCTTCTATTGTGGAAGTAGCGATTGATTCTGCTCGTCGCGAACGGTACTTTACTCTTGAGCCTAATTCTGTTAGAGGTTAGTTTTTGAGGAATGGATCAATACATTAACTTTTTTCTGGTAGCACAAATTAGCACAAAATCGGTACTATTAAAGTCTGATTTTATTTTTCTTTTTTTCTTTTTTTTCTTATGATCCTGCTAGCTTGATGTTAAGCTAGCAGCGCCACACGTTTCTTTTAAATGGCATATGGTACAAAATTGTTTTTGTAGCACAAATTAGCATCAAATGAGCACTAAATAGTTCAAAAGGTCTTTTTCGATTCTGCTCATTTGGTCCTGCTAGCTTGACAGAGGTAATATTAAGCCGTTTATAATTTAAATATGTTTATATCAATTGTTTATTACAGGTTTAATATTGATAATGACCCGATCGGAGTCGAAATGTCGTTTGTATAGTTCTTATATTTACATCTTTGTTTAGTTCTTATTAATTATATTATACTTATTATTCATATCCTTTTCTTGTGGTTCGTACACACTTTTCAACACAATTTCGATTAATTTATACTTTTTGAGCCATATTATACTGTCTTTTAATATTTATTATTATTTAACATTATTTATTTTCAATTTTTAATTATTACAGATGTTCCAAATGTGTTTCTCATTTGATTCAATACACGCTTGGAGACGTCGTATCCTTACATACATACTGAAAGGGCCATAGGTGACCAAAAGTGTCTGCAACATCTGTCTGCCCTGGTGAAAATTTTTCTCAGAATTTTTCATATAATTTTTCAGAATTTCTATATAATTTTTCAGAATTTCTATATAACTTTATGACTTTCTCACATTTTTTTATACACTTCTCAGAAAATTCACATCTTTTTTCAGAATTTTTCATATGTGTTAATTATGAAATATCGTAAAATTTCTAAGATTTTTTGTAAGTATAATTTAATTATGAAATGTCATAAAATCTGAAAAAAATATAAATATTTTTTAAAAATTATGGGATAAGAAATTTCAGAATATTTCAGAATTCACTTGTATGAAAAATTCTGAGAGAAAATGTAAACTTTCTGAATATTTCTGAGTATTTCTGAAAAATGTTCCAATTCGTATAAAAATTCTGAGAAAAATTTTCACCAGGGTGTCCTTGTCTGAAAGCTTGTTTGCTGTGCGCTTGCGTGTGATTTATATGTGAGCTCTGAATGTACATGTGTATATTCTAAGGCGAGAGTAGAGAGAATCTCCACTCTTGCCTTAGAACATACACATATACGTTCAGAACTCACATAAATGTAAATCACTCACAAGCGCACAGCAAACAAGCTTTCAGACAAGGACAGATAGATATTGCAGACACTTTTATTACATTGGTTAAATACGGTATGGCCCTTCCAGTATGTATGTTCTAAGGTCGGATCATAGATTGTTGCACTTTTTCAAAGATCCCGGGACAATTGCGAGTGGTGTCATAAGCATTAAAGATGCGTTGGCGTAGCATATTTTCATTAGCGATGGAACTTCATAAACTAAGAACTTTATGTCCCTACAGATAAAAATTTATAGGATTTAAATCGGCGGATCGTGAGGATCATGTAACTGAGCTATATATCTCAGTAACAGTGGATTTACGGACATATATAGATATATACATATCACAGACTTCTATAAATAGACTGCCGACTTCGCCTCTATGTTTAAAAACAGCGCTGGGCAGCGCCATATTTGTGTTCACTCACTCTCACATGTATAAATCACACAGATACCAACGTTAGTGTTTTCACACATATTCACGCGATACTCACAGACAGGATGCATATTTATTCATATGTGAACTGAAACAAGAACAACTCGGAATCAGGTTCATCTCTTTCTACATATTATATTGAATCAGCAGTCTAGCTATAGAAATCAACAATCTAACTATAAAAATCGGTTCATATCAATTTTTCTTCGTATTTGGTATAGGGGCTACAGTCCTCAAGTTTGTTATCTTATTTTAGTTACACCCTGCGTGTGCATATGTATATATACACACACATATACATATACAGTGATGGGAGAAAGTTCTGTAACGGTCAAATATCTTGGAAAATAACGATTATGGAAAAAAATGTTCAATACAAAAGTTTTAGTATATCAAGTGGTCTATTATATGGTTATATTGAAATGACTTTCATGTGACCTTGAAAGACACCGTGAAGGTCAACTTTGAAATCTTAAATGGAAACTCCTATTTTCTATTACATATTCTTAAAGCTGGTGTCAAGACGCTTCTGAAACATTGGTTACAAACCCTTTTTGCTTAAGATCTTCCTGAGTTACGAACCTTCAAAATTTAAGTATCGCCGACGCGTTATCTAAGGTGTACCGCGTGGAGGTGGCAAAATAGGAGTTTCCATTTAAGATTTCAAAGTTGACCTTCACGGTATCCTTCAAAGTCACATGAAAGTCATTTCAATGTAACCATATAATAGACCATTTGATATACTAAAACTTTTGTACTGAACATTTTCTTCCATAATCATTATTTTCCAAGATATTTGACTATTACGGAACTTTCTCCCATCACTGTATATGTGTATAAAGGAAATAATTATAATGATGTACAGATTTGCTGAACGTGTTAATGCAGTGTTCACGCTGATGATCTTCATACAATTCACCATAAGCTCGACAGTGCTCTGTCTTAGTATCTACAAAATGTTGACGAAGAATTTGTTGAGCCTTGAGTTTGCATGGAGCTCGTCGTATCTTGGTTGTATGCTTATGCAGATTTATTTATACTGTTGGTTCGGTAACGAAGTAACATTGAAGGTCGGTCATTAAAAATTTTTTTAACTTTTAAAGCCTTATTTTCTTCAAAGAATATTTAATTTATTTGAAGCCGATTTAGTAAACTTTCTTTTTAATTAATTTATTCTTAAATACGTAGAGCACTGAAATCGGAAGTGCCGTTTATGAGATGGAATGGCCGATGCTTCCTGTTGATTTAATGAAGACTCTTTTAGTAATAATTACGCGATCTAAGAGACCTATTAAGATAACTAGTGGATACATGATTACTTTGTCCAATGATTCGTTTATGAAGGTGAACGGGATAATATTGTCATAACATTTGCGTTAAAAATGTTTTTGGTAAATATATAGTTTAGAAGAGCCGCTCCCAATGACCTTGATATGTGTTGTCAAGGTCATGATCCTGAGTGACTTTGAGAAAGTTTCAACCGTCGAACATTAAAAAGTTATAAACAAAAGAAATTTAAGAAATAATATCTGATTTCTACTATATAAAATCAAAATTTTCAGTTTTAAGAACAAAAATTATATAAGAAAATAATGTTTTTAAAGCAGAAAATTCCACGCGAAACGACTCCCACCCCACCTCCTCTCCTACTTAGAGGTTAACGATTTGCACGCGAAGCGACACCTACCTCACCTCCCCCCTGCTTGGGGGCGCACGACTTCTACGCTAAGCGACTCTCACCTCATCTCTCCCCTGCTTGGGGGCGCACGACTTCTACACGAAGCGACTCTCACCTCACCTCAACCCCTGCTTGGCGTGGATATCTTGCGTCCCCAAGCAGGAGGGGAAGTGGGGTGGGAGGCGCTTCGCTTGGAAGTCGTGCGCCCCCAAGCAGGGGGGAGGTGGGATAGAATCGTTTTGCGTGGAAGTCGTGCGCCCACAAGAAGGAGGGGGGAAGTAGGGTGGGAGTCGCATGGAAAGTCGTAAAATATAGGAGAGACCGAGGATAGTTGATACATTTTTTTAGGAATTTTTTGCATATAACTGATAAATAGAATCTAAACTAAGGTCATTTTGCAATAGCTATATGCTTATACACAAAAGTTATTTTATAATTTAATAATATGATTAACTTTCTAGTATTAATAAAAAAAATAAGATCATGCACCTTGTAACAACTAATCCCAAATATGGGGTAGGATGTTACAGTTACTGGGGTCACTTGTTACATATCCAGATTTCAAAATATTACACATTTAATTAAATGAAATATATGTATATACTTCATTAATAATTTTAAAACGATATTTATGTATAGATATGTAACATTAATAACGTTTATGATATACCTAAACAGTTTTCTCTTTTTCTTACATACATCACAGAAATAAAAACGTAAATTTATGTAAGATTATCATTTGGTTGCCGCGCTATTACGCTTACAATAGGTTATGTTAAGATTAGGTGTGACAATGGAGAAGCAGACACCTGTAATGACATATCCCATCACAACTAGTCCCGGGGTATCATATTTACGTATTTCAATTATTACTTATGCAAAAAATATGGTATATGTTAAGACATTAATATAACTGTTTTTATAAAGATGTTCTTTATAAAATAAGAATTCTATAGAAATAGTTGAAGTTATGATATGGTGAACACATTGATAAATATAACATTTAATATATCACTGATTTATTTTACTTTTGGCTATGAAAAACCGAAAATATTTTCTATTTGTGAAAATATGTTATTCAGTCTGAAATAACTTATTACAGTATGATTGCAATGTTTTTACGGAAATACTATATTTTTCATGTAATATTATCGTTTGTTGTTTTGCAGCAATTTTAAGTGTAACAACATGCTAGATATATCAACTATACCCGGTTTTCCCTATTAAAGCAGAAAATTTCTGTTTCATATAGTAGAGAAAGAAGACATTATTTCTTAAACTTCTTTTGTTTATAACTTTTTAACAAGTAACATCCGATGATTAAAACTTTCCTAAGGTCACTCAGGGTTCTAAGGTCCTAAGGTCACTCCTTTAAATTACACATATTTACTATGTTTTTTAATTAAGTATAAAACGATATTTTGATTATTACATTTTTTAATTCTCATTTTTTTTAGATCATCAAAATATCTTATTCAGCGTACAACGTCCTGCAAGGATCTTAGTACGAGCGAAAGGTATCTTTTTTCGAGTACGCATGTCGAAGAAATCTGGTGGCCAACTATTTATTTCCACGCAAATAATACCGCTTAAAAATATTTAAATGTGCTTAAATATTTTCTTAAATATATTCTTATACATCTTTTGTATAAGTAAAGGTTAAAGATCTTAAGTATCTTATGAAAACGATCTTATTCTCGCTTTTTCTTCAATGGCCTGGAATTGAACATGGCAACAGCAGCTCGCAGGAAGTCGGAAATAATCGCGAACGATTTCGCCACCCTCGGAAATAGCTGACAGCTCGCGATAAATATATTTCTGTTTGCACATCGTGATGTATCCCTCAGCAAAATCATCGATCATTCTGCACTTACCATCTTGTTCTCTGAAAATAGTATATATTACGAATATTTCTCGTAACATTCTATTTTACTCTTGTCTTACTATCTATTATACAATACATGTACTATATTTATCCTGTAATTTAATTTCTTATTCATATTGCATATAAACATTAAAGGACTGTGAAATTCTAATTTATAGCGTCTTTTTTCTGTATATGTACTTACTTACAAACTTCGATGCGTATACTTTGAAAGAAATTTTCGCCTGCCTGAACAATGTACATCCATTGATTTTTCATATTTACAGCCGTTTTCGGACGAATTAATAGCTCCTATAATTTTACGTCGTTTTTATTAGTGTTTATAAACAGTTTTAAAACTTAACATATACATACAGGTTATATATACATACAGGTTATATATACAGAATGGCCTAACAAAACTGAAACAGACTGTATAACTCTTACAAAAATGATTTTTCGAAAAAACGCAAAAACATGTCAATTTCTATTGAGAGGGGGACATTATACACGAGGTTCCTTACATAGTATTATACATGGTATTATACAAGTATAATACATCATTTAGTTTTATACGTATTATACTTCATGTGGCGCCATCTCTACATCATGTGCGTAATTTAATTATTTCTATCAATCTCTATATTATCCACGCTAAAAATCGATCCAAAATTCGCATATAAAATTCGCGACAAAAAATTAAGAGCTGAGCGTTGTAAGTGTCTCGAGAGGTCACTCGTGCGATTCGGACGTGTTCTGTCTCGAGCGTTACATCACCTCGATTTATATTTTTTGAATTACGTGCATCATAGCCTTAACGCCGTAAGCGTCCAGTGTTTTGGGGGGTCCTGCATCATTTTCGCAGCAATGGTAAAAATCGAAATTTCAGAAAAATCGATAACATGGAGTCGTTCTGGACACTCGTAGAGTGTCGTAGACTATAAATTAGAGTTTTAAACGTTTTATACGGTTTTTTACGTATAATATCGTATAATACAGTATAATACAGTATAATGTAACAAACCCTAGAAAATTCTCGGATAACCCAACCCTGGGGACATCTTTTGACGTATAATTCTTACCCTCAACTTCAACTTAGGTGTTAAAAGCGTCCAGTATGGGTTCGAGACGATCTAAAAGACAAAGACCAGACTCAATACGAGCGATCCTATGTTCCAATGATGAGATTGATTTTGTCAGAGTAGACAAGGAAGACTTAACTTCAGAAAGTGCTGATGATACATTAGAAGGCATCCAAGAAGAAGGAAATCGTGATCAGTCTCATCAGGTAGAGGTGAATGGAAAGGCGACGGAACACCACCAGCCAAATAGGCAGCAGCAGCTCCAATCATAGGCGACGACAACTCACCTTCTGTTGCAGCAAGAGAGGCACGAGAATCGGAGAGACCTACACCGTTTTCAGCACCACAGAAAGCGCAAGGGCGCTTACGCGAAATAAAGCGCTTACATTTGCTACAAGTCGACTGGCTCATAATGGAAAATCGATATTAAATATAAATTGATATTAGATACAATAAAGTCGAAGTTAGATATAGATAAAAATAAAATATGTTTATGCTTTGAATCGCACAACGAGGCAGACAGAAAATTAACGGACTAATTATTTATAACCGTGACCGATCCTCAACAAATACAAATGATACACATGAACAATAAAGATATAACGGTTTTGATTATACAATTATAACACGATTATAGAATTATAACACAAATGACAATCACTGAATATATTTCTCAAATAATCATAAAAACGCATGCAGACTAAGACAATATCAAAATGCTTACGAAATAATTAGGCGCGGAAAGATCGCATCACTCACAGAAGCACATTCCGCCCGTCGATCAGCATTCGCCACAGCTCAAAGTAAAAACGAAAGTAAAAACTGAGGTGTTAATCACCTTAAGTTATAATAATCACAGAAATAATTCACACTATCCTAAACAATATTTAAATATAAGCCCATTAAACATAAGACATGCAGGAGATGTTTCATTTCGGCAACAATACTGAAAATTTGAAATGTTAGATAAAAATATTTATAAAATGTTTCATGAATGTTTCAAAATAACATTTTATTTGTAACATTCACGCGCCGTTCCAAAAATGTTATAGCTGTTATTTCAATAATTTGGGATGTTAGAAAAGAAATGTTTAGCAACGTCCAAGAAATGTTTCATTTGGGATGTTTTGTTTGTAATGTTCAAAGACATTACAACAATGTCACATTTTCGACGTTCATAAAACATGTAAATATTTTAAGACATTCCATAAACGTTTCATTTAGAATGTTTGGCTTATAACGTTTGACATTACAGCAATGCTACATTTGTAATAATCTTGGAACATCAATTTTACAATATTCTATAAACGTTCCATATGAAACATTTACTTTATAACGCATTGCCAAACATTAAACTGCAGATTTTATACATATAAGTGCAAACATTTTTTAAATAACATCTAATTTTTCACGAAAGCTTTCTAGCAAATAAGGTACGTTTATGGTTAAGAGCAATGAAGAAAGGGGAGAGCATGATAATGTCACATTGATCGAGTTCAAACCGGCAAAGGCATGCTGGCCGAGCGAATGAGCATGATCTTACCTATAGATCTAATCAATCATGTTTAATTGCTCGGCGAGCCTAGTCGCTTTGCCGACTTGAACGCGCCCATTGACTCTCTCTTACCGCTCGCTTCTCTAGTGTAAGAAATTTAGAGGAAATAGGCTCAACAAAGAAGCTATCAGCGTCAGGGCTGTGTGGCTCAGTGGCAGGACGGAAGTCTACCAATATGGAGAAGACGAGGCCTCGGTTCATATCCCAGAGTATCCTGATATTTTTCTCAAGTTGTCGCTTATTTCTTACACTAGCTTGCGTCTTTGAATGTGATATTATATTGGTGCTTAGTGCTAAGCACCAAAAATATATTTTTTTTTTTATGTCCATTCGCAGGGATATTACTTAAACGTTTCTGCGATATATACTGAAATATTTCTCGGACGTCACATCTAGGTTCTCTAAACGTTTCATGAACATTGCAAATAAAACGTCCCATATGTAATGTAAAAGAAGCAGGACATTCTGGATTACCGACATGTTTTATAGATGTTCCTGAAATATATCGACAAACATCACATGCCACAATGTGACGTTGCTGTAACATTTCTAAAATGTAATTTTGTTTAATAGGAGATAAATCTTTAGATTAGGGGACTCCCCCAATCTAATCTTGACCTTGACATATGTTGTTCCCGAGTGACCTCCAACAAGTTTTAGCCGCCGCTCGTTATTTGTTAAAAAGTTATTCACAAAAAAGTTTGAAAAATAATGTCTCTTTTCTACTATATAATAATAACAAGGTAAAATGAAACGGTACTTTTTTAAACTTCTTTTGTTAATAACTTTTTAACGAATAACGTTATTATTCAAATTTTATTTTATTTTTTAAGACCTTATATACGTTTACTCAAATATTTTCTGCTTTAAAAACACAAATTCTTTGCTTTAAAATCACACTATTTTTTGTCGATAATTCTTTGCTTTAAAACCACATTTTTTTCCCTTTAAAACACAAATTCTGTTTTTAAAAAAACAAATTCTCTCTCGGCACAGGATGCAGGCGCTGGTCGGCGGCAGAGAACGCTTGGCTCGGTGGAGTATCTTCTGCCGCTGTTTCGCACTGCGGAACTAGGATGCGAAGCTGGATCGAGATCGGAATCAGAGCAGGAGTCGAAAAAAGTTGGAGAAAGAAGAGAGCCGCACGATAAAAATCGCGGCTTTTATATCGGATTATTGCTCCCTCTCGTAATGTTCCGTAGTTATTCGTCGGTTCTCGCCGGTTAGCAATATAAGCGGGAGACGCGCGGTTCGGTGGTATTCGGATAGATTCGGATCTCTTCGGCGAACTGACTGTCACTCGTGAATTGTCGTGATGTATTTCGCGTGTCGCGGGCCGGTGGCGGCGATGACGGATTCGTGACGGTGCATGAGGAATGTATCGTTACAACTTGATTTAGACCAAGTTCATTCCTCAGAATTTACATGTCCAGAATCTATTCATTCCCTGAATGCACATAAAGACGACGTAAACAATATCTTACAACAATTCGATAATATCCTCGAACCAAAAGTTGGATGCATTCCAAATTTCACATGCTCTTTAAAGCTACGTGAAAAAAAAGCAAAGCCTGTATTCCTGAAAGCTCGTGACGTTCCATTTGCTCTCCGAGATAAAGTCAATACTAAATTGGATACATCAGAGGCTCAAGGCATTATTTCAAAAATTGATTGTGTCGACTGGGGATTATCCTTAGTGGTTATTTCAAGGCCAGATGGCTCTGTTCGACTATATTCTTTTTATGTGTCGACTATAAAATTGCAGTGAATCCACAACTAAAAGGAGCTTATTACCCAATTCTAAGGCTTGACAAAATTTTAAGCAGTCTCCGGAATGCAGGATTTTTTTGCATATTTGATTTATTTAAAGCATACCTGTATGTATTAATAGCAGTAGATGAGGAAAGTAAGATCATTCATATCAACTTACTGAGGTATCTATAGGATGAATCGACTATCTTTTGGAATTAAAACAGCTCCAAGCGAATTCTATAGGATCTTAAATCAAATA